CACACTTACACTGAAACTCTCAAAGATTTATTAAGGCCCGAGCACAGACCGTGCAAAGGCCCTATTGTAATTGAAGGAATTCTTGTTCTTTTTCTCCCAAACAAACGCATATTTAGAGGCTTTCCCGTGCTCGAAAACTCATGAAACACGGCGCAGTTTGTGTCAGCTGTGTATGTCAGTTTTGGGGAAAAATTTCGTATTTTCTAGGGTTCAACTATGAGCATGGCAAAATGGACCCTCAGGGGCCCATAAATTGTACCACCTGGGGCCCCTTTCACCGATATGCAAAAAATCGGCACACGCATTGATCTTAACTTATCTTACGTGTACGCTGTTCAACGGAATAACATAAATAGCACAACTTTTAATCGTGAATGTCTTTAGATGGCTGTGTCCAAATCTGAAGTTGTTCCGATCAATTCCCTAAGAGGAGTTTGTTCAAATACAACGTGTGCAAATTGTCCTGTTGGGTTTGGGATATGGCGCCCACTGGAGTTTTTGTTCGTCTAGATAAGATCTACGCGTGACGATTTTTATGCATATCGGTGAATGGGGCCGAGGATGGTACAGTTAATGGGCTGCTGAGGGGCCATTTTGCCATGCTCATAGTGGACCCCTAGAAAATACGACTATTTTCGCCACGACTGACATGTGCGCCACATTTCATGAGTTTTCGAGCATGTTGCAGCCTCCAAATATGCAGTCGAAGGGGCTAAAAATAATAATAGGTAAGAAGAATTCTAGCAAATACAATAGGGACCTCCAGCGGTCGCTGGCTCGGTCCCAAAAAAATAACAAATGGACAGAAAGACTTCCCATCACGTGATGTAAGTTTTAATGACCATAGGATGGGCAGGGTTGGTGCTGCCTTCACGCTTTACGCTTGGCTAGTGTTAGACCTAAGGATTTAATTCAGAATGCAAAGATGTTGAAAGAAACCTCTCTCGATACGTTTTTATGAGGCCGAAGAAGAGGAGCAGACAGCGGAGGTCATCTAGGGAAAACTCTGGCACTGACACAGAGGATGATCGGCCCCCCCGCCAGCAACTGTAACTGTTACAGATCACATAATGATGTTGTGTTCAAGACCAAGCCCTGAAGTAGCCTGCTTTCAATACACTATACAATTACAGTCAGATACTCGTCTGAATAATGTCTGAATGAGATCTGAAAGTAAGGGTAAAACACTTCTGGTTGATCACTTGCTGCTTTCTTCGGTTCTTGCACACATTACATCCCACAGACTCTCCTTCATTAATGTTTCTGGCTACGCTACTTTGAAATTGGCCATGCTAGTTTATCCATCACCAAAATGTACTAACATGACATGGATGCGTTAGTTCTTCTAGTTCCATATGATACCAGGGTCTTCACTCTAGCTTTAAGAGGAGCCCGCTGCAACCTCTGAAAGACAGTGCGAGTAGGAGAGGAAAGGATTTCATGTTTTCCTCCCCCTGGAAACGTCCCTGATTATGTGGTATGTGAATCTAAGCAACATTTTAAGCTTTTGTCCTTCAAGAGAAAACAGTAATGTAGCATTTGGTCTGGCTTCATGCTGACGGTGAGTCATCTGAACACAACTAACACTAAAACATAAGGATGATAAGCCCGTCGGTGTTGGCAGAACTTCTGTATGAGACACCTTGGACAAACATTAACGTACCAGCTGTGTCTGCTGGTTCAGACCTGCAGAGGAAACAGGTTTGTGCTGTTGAACAGGAAACCACAGAGAAGTCCTGACTGCTGAGTCATAGTTTGTCTTTGTTCACTTCTGAAGCACTGCCTGCAGCGCTCACACAGCAGTTGGAGCTGTGAATGAATGAGGACGCTTCCAACGACTGGTCCATAAAATTAACCAGATTTAATTAGACTGAAAATATGCTTTTTAATTAAACAGTGAGGAGATGGACTTGTTATGTGCAGAGTCAGGTCCGGTACATTAGGTTTGCAGCAAAACACAATAACACAGTCCTCTGGACAAAAATCACCACTACAATAAAAATAAGGTAAACTAAAAACTTGTGCCATGTTACTCAACTTTAATAACAAAACAACAAAAAATGCACAAAGCAGTTTGAATCCAACTAAAAGCTCCCTGCCACCAAACCCCTTAAGGAAATATCACATTTTAACAATTCCTAACGTGTTCGTAAACAAACACGTAACTTAGAAACACGAGCTAAAGGCCTCATATGTCCACAGTCTGACTGTCAATACAGGATCAATATCATCATAAAAGATACAGTGTATACTGATCAATATCATCCATAAAGGATACAGTGTTACTGATCAGATATCATCCATAAAGATACAGTGTATTACTGATCAATAATCATCCATAAAGATCAGTGTATCTTGATCAATATCATCCATAAAGATACAGTGTATACTGATCAATATCATCCATAAATGATACATGTCTATACTGATCAATATCATCCATTAAAGTGGATACAGTGTATTTGATCCAGGTGGATCGATTTAAACACTGACTGTGTAAGGTATTTTACTTGTTTGGGGTCGTTGTTCATAGTAACCACACGCGTTTTCCCGGCCGTGTAGTGACACGCAATAATTAACCATCTTACGCTCTGTGACGTTGGAGCCCGGAAAGTCTGGGTCCATTGTTCTTCAGCCAGCAGCTCCCTCACGGTACCGGTACCAACAGGAACAACACTGTACCTGATACACGCACAAGACACAACTCACCGGTAACGGGACGGTACGGACGGTAATCTTCTTCTTTCAGCCTCGAAAGCGCCGCTCAGTTTGATGACGGGCACACCAAGGAAGTGAGTGTATTTCCCGCCCAGAGGATTCCCACTGTGGGATCTCGTCCGTGGAGAGTCTTCACCCTTTAAGGTGTTCATCACTTCTTATGTGTGAACAGGTCGACCCTCCCTGACTTCCTCTGTGCACCCATTTACACTGAAAGTTTGTTACTTTTAAAAGTAGTAATGATCATATATTGACATTATGTATTCCAGTGTAGCATTCAAACGAGGAACATAATATCTCTTTATATCAGGTTAAATGTTACAGAATTCACTGTTACACGGACCATTAATACTAACACTTAAAAACTGTCCAACTACAGTAATATCCTGCAGCTGGGCAAAACAATACTGTAAAATACAGTATTCTATAATTCAATACAGGTTTTGAGCTTTAATATTTACTAAAACCTTCTGTAATTGTTGCTTTTTAATGTTGAATTAAAGATATTACAGTGTAAAACAATGGATCTATAAAATCCAGGTGAACTATATATAATACAATAATCAGGCTTACATTTACAGCAGAGTGCTGTTATTATTTGATTTTTCTTATTTTAATTTGAATTTAAAAACTATAGAACTGTAATAAAAGTAATTTTCTGTGAAATTACAGTAATTATTGCTGTTTACACTGATAAAAACTGTATTTAAACAGTTTACCAATGCTTATACACTGATAAACAACATTTATTCAACGTTTGTGTTGTGAAAACTTCCATAATTATACAAGATATCTGTCAGTTAACAAACAAAAACATGTAAAACTACACAACAAATACTTTTTTTCACTGTTCACTAATTTTATATAATTTTAGAAATGTATTAACAGAATTAAACTTGAATTTAACAGTTTAATCTATTAAATAAACAGCAAATATCTGCAAAAAAAAGGAAATTTTCTTTTCTGTCTGTCAGTGGCACGCCCTGTCGCACTCTGAACAGTCCAAATACTACGACCTGGCCCAGAAGGAGAGACTGCTTCACATGCAGCTCTACCCTGGATGGTCCGCCAGGGACAACTACGTATGTACTGTACATCTGCGTACATCTACAGTGTATACTGCGTTTGTGTGCTTCAGGAGGATTCAGGCTTTACTTATTTTCTTTGCAGGGTAAAAGGAAGAGGAAGCAGAGCCAGCAGGCCACAGGAAGCTGCACCAGGTTAAAAACCTAAAAGATCAAAAAATAAAAGCTCAGGACTTATTACAACTACTGTTACTACATAGTGTGTAAATTCCTCTGAGCTGAGAATAAAATGATCTGTTTTTGTTTTTCCAGCAGCTGGATCGGATGAGACCCCTGAAGACAACTGTCGTATAAACTCGTCCTCCTCATCCAGTAAAATGCAGTGAGGTCGCAAATCCAGTTCAACATTGAAAGACCGAAAGACTTGCAGCCATCACACAATTAGTCAGACCTCTGCCCTGTATGTAAAGCTCTGACCTCTGCCCTGTATTTACAGCACAGACCTGTCTTCTGTAAAAATTGATTAAATTAAATCTTTATTTACTGTCTCTGAAAAAAGCCATCCAGTGTCAGAGATTATTGGACTAAAACTGTATTTCTAAATAAAGTAATACTTGAGAATCGAATGATCATGTATTGTTCCTATTGTTTGAATCAAATACAGTACAGACCTCTGACCTGTATCTACAGCACTGACCTATACAGTATTGTTACTATTATTTGATTAAAATAAACAGCACTGACCTCTGCCCTGTATCTGTCCTGTCCTCTGTAATTTAGTATTATTGTGGAAATGTTACACACACATTGTGGCTTTGTGTACAACATTCTCAAATTTGGTTGCAGTTCAATTCAGCATTTAAAAGTTGTGTCCTGTTAGGTGCATCGGGCCACGTCTTCAAAAGTTCAGCAACCAGTTACAGACAAACAATAAGATACCCAAACATGAACCTATGACTCTTGTTTGGTTTCATCTAAATAAGCTTTGTACCAATTTTGGTGAAGATTAGATATGACAAAAAAAGCACAAAAAGTTAGATATAGTAGAAATACAAATATTTATATTATATACTTTTAAAAGTAAAAAATAAACACTATATGTTAATAATATAATAATAATAACTCATTAATTCAAACTTACATCACTAGCTTATTAGCTAAAAAAAAGGCACAATACAATCACAAACACTTCAGCTCTTGACTGAAAATAAATCTTTTATTATCAAAGCAAATATTTGATTGTGACATTTTGTTCACGTCAGTTTTAACCAAATATGAACTCTGACTAAATGTAACACTTAAGTGTTCAAGTAACTTGAACAATGATCTTCATTAATCTGACTTTAAATCAGCAGCAGTTTCAGGAAGTTAAGGTGAAATCTAAAGTTTACAGGCAGTTATTGTTTCATTCATTTAACAATAAAGGTGGAATAAAATAAACAGTAAAAAAAACACAAACCGTCATGAGCTCAGTGTCTCAATACTTATATAACTTAAACAACAATAATCAAGTATATCAAGACATATACAACAATACTCTCACACTGATGAGGACCCAACTGGAGCACTTGGGACATCAAGTCACTAGCAGTTCATCTACTAGAAGCTAGTTCACGGACATCACAGGCAGAATTAATAATCTCAATGTTTAAATAATTAGTCTCATCGTCGTCTTTGTTGGAAGGAAGTACATTAATACATTTGTATTTGTTGGCTTCACTAAATTGTTTAGGTTAATGAGCTAGATCATTTTAGTATCACATAGAGTCACCCGACCTTTTGATTAAGAAAAGTCAAAATCTTACAAAAAGCGTTTGTTGTTTGGCACTTCAGCAACGCTAACTTAGTTTGGAAGACATATTTGTTATTGATAAATCCAAACCTGTAGGTTTAGATTAATTGTTGGATACCAACAACGACAGAAACTGAGCAGAAAAACTGAAAAAGTCTGATTTATTTTGGTGCTGTATTCACGTATTTTGTCGGCAGTTGTGTCAAAAAACTGTGCGATAACCAGCCCTCATCAGAAAACCAGAAGACAATGAGATAATTTACTTCTGTTTTCTTTCCAAACATACACATTATGTTAGCATGTTCCAGGTGTTGTTAGTTAGCATGTTTCAGATTATTCAGCAGTTCACAAAAAACAGTAAACTAGACTCACGTCACTGTTTAGTTTATAAAAACTAGAAGTTGGTTTTACATTTTCTGTTGTTTACCAGCAGATATAAACTCTTTATTCCCGCCCTTTTGTAACCTGTGCTTAATTGTTAGCTAGCTTATTGATAACATGAGCTATCTGATGTAAATTGCTCGCTAATGATTAATGTAGATTAGTTAGTTAGTTAGCAAGTGTTTGGTTAACATTAGCTAACTTAAGAGGTGATTTAAATATATATGTATTCGCTGAGCTTATGTTTGCTAATATTAACAAAACCTGATTGGAGCACAGAGCCAAAAGGGGGCGGGGCTTAGAGGGTCAAACACAGCCAAGTATGTGAACAGAAACACTGGTGGCTCCACATACGCTCCGTTAACAGAGAGCAGATAATCATTATTACTGTTCTGGTGATTAAACCTGCTGATGAACTAATACCCAGTGATAATGTAAACACATCCTCTTCCTCCCTTCAGTGTCTCCTCTTCCTCAGTACGCAGGAGAGAGCTGGAAATGCTGGTTCTAATAAATAAACTGATGTTAAAGTTCCCCGTCCTGTGTCACCGGCGTGGTGATGGATGCAGCCCTCACTCGTCCCTGCCGCCCTCCACCATCCGGTAGTGCTGCCTGCAGCAGGACGGCAGCGGCACCGGCGACGAGAACACGATGGGAACAGTCGACTGAACGTTCCTCTCCAGGAAGTTAAACACCGGGTTCCACCACGTCCTCGACAGGTAGTTGTTGGGAGCTTGACGCAGCGCCTGAGCAGATATACACAAAATAAAACAATAAATCAATAAATCACTCAGACAATTTATACACAACTATTTTGATATATTTGAGTAATTTAAAAAAAAAAATTCACTGGTTCCAGCTTCTGATTTATCATTTTAAATGCTCAGTAATATCTCTCAGATTAACAAGCAACGTGTGAACTCTTACGTGTGAGTTGGCCATGGTGTGGTACCACCAGAAGGTCCTGGTGGTGGCGATGTATCCGATCACCACGTCGATGCTGTAGTGCTCGTGACCGATCAGGATGCAGAGGACTCCCGAGGCGCTGAGCAGCCAGCAGGGCCAGTGATACCACCACATCCAGCGAGGAGAGTCTGAACACAACACACACACATATTAGGGTCAGAAATCAGGATATAAATGAATATCCCTCGTATTTGTTCCTTCCAGTCAACGCAGCCCTTTAAACTCTGGCAGCCACAGGGTTCGGGGCTACCCAGGTATCATCTATATATTTATATTTCCCATAAATAACCAACTCACACTCTTTGATGAAGAGGTAAGACAACGTCAACATGACGGTGTGGCCGCTGTACAGGAAGTCGCCGCACATCAGGTGAGAGCCGGTCAGAGACAAACCTGAACACAAACAACAACAACAACAAACAAACAAACAGAGCTTAAAAATGGAAAACCAGGAAGAACTCTCAATATACGTTTTTCTTTTGTTATTTCCTTTTCTAAACCTGCGATGATCCTTTATAATGTTTGTTGGTTTTTGTCAAAAAAAATACAAAATAACGTTTAAAAAAAAAAACAAATCTAGCAAGAAAGTTACCAACACAAATTATATATATTCAATAATATATTTCTCTACTGTCCCCAACACTGTATGTTTGTATCTTTGTGCTATATTTATTGTCCTTTGGGCAACAGGACGTCTTTACATTCAACAGCTGCCTCAGTGTCAGACCATCAGAGAGCAGGATTTTATTTTTTCTGTTCAAATGTGTTAAAAATAGTTAAAATAATAAAGAACTTGTGAGTTACCTCCTCCTGAGATCAGCCTCAAAATCCTCCAGATTTTCCCCGTTGAATCGTTGTACAGCTGCACAGAGACGACCAAACGACAACACATTTAGTGACGATGTGTGTGCGTGTATGAACAGGTATAATGTGAGTATTATTGTGTGTATTTGTACCTTCGGAGCGCAGACCATGTGTTTCCCCGGCACCGGCAGCGTGGTGATGTACATGGTGACGCAGCGATACATGTAGAGAGTCCCGATCAGGAAGAAACAGCGACGACCAATTATAGCTCTGAAGAGAAAGAAGTTTAATCCAAAAAATGTGATTAATCAATTAAATAAATTGGTTTTACTGTTAATTTCAGTGCTTTAATTTATACAATATATAGTTGCAGAAATAATCAGTATTATTAGTAAATATATAGTAAAATGTTCAATATCTTTAATGTGCTCAGCTTGTGACAACGTGGATTTTATCACCTCTAAATAAATAAAATCAGAAACAACAAGTCCAACTGTTACAAGCTGGATTTATCTATTGTGTAACCTGGTTACCATGGTGATTTACCCAACGATTACACCTGAGATGATGAGTCCACTAATATAACTGTCGATCGAGAGAAAATCAACAGTTTTACATGTTTTAAAATATATTTAAGTGAGTTGTTTGATGTCGTGAACGTGTTACAGTCTCCGGTCGTACTTGTGTTTGAGGAAGAGCCACTGGACGAGCCAGAGTCCGACCAGGATCAGCCCGTTGACCTCGGTGACGGTGAACGCCCACGGCACTCGGTCCACGTAGTCGAAGAACTTGTCGGGCAGCGGCGGGCTCACCGACTTGTCCGGCACCCTCTCGTGGACGACGGTGATGATGACGGTGGTGAAGAAGAGGTTGAACACGGCGTAGAGGAAGGCCACGCCCGTCTTCCACCACTCCCTGGGGAGGCGGTCCGCCGGCTCCTCCGGCACGCTGATCTTGACGTAGTCGCAGTGTTTGCGCAGCCCGCTGCTCAGGGAGTGGATCAGCTGGTTCTGTTTCAGCAGGCTGCTCAGTTTGCTGCTGCCTTTGCCGTCGTGAGCGTCGGCGGCGAGCGTCGGCGAGGACGTGAGGCGGGTCGGGTTACCGTTGGCAACCCTCAGAGGATGCGGTGGCGAGGGGGGGTTCATTGTGGTCACGTTAGCTTCCACATGAGGGCGGATGTCGTCGGCGTCCTGGATCAGTTCTGACGCCGCCATTGATCGACCCTTAATGACTCTGATCAATAGTTTCCCCGGTTGACCAACCAATCACAGCCTTCGTAACGAGTCAGCTGACCAATAAATAATTTTAGTCTCACAAACAGGCGATCAATAATCCGGTATCAGCGATCAGCAGCAGGTATCAGGTTGGTCACAAGGATCATTGATTAGTGTACAGCAGAGACGAGATCCATCAGGATGATTCAGCACAAACCTGAAAAACAAACAAACATTTTTACTTTTCAAATCAAAATATTTTATTTCTTTTTGTTTTTATTCTATTGTTACATTATTGTTGTTATTATCATTGTTGTTGTTGTTGTTGTTGTTGTTGGAGTTCCAGCAGGTTCATTTTAAACAAACATTTGTCTCCAGTTTCTGTAAAACTTCTGATTTTCAGGTTGAATCTCTTGTTTACATTTCATGTTGTTTTGCTCGTTTCATTTATTAAACTTTATATTTCAGAATCAATCTGATCCTGTAACTAAATCTGACACACACACACACACGACGACACACAGAGACGAACACAACACAAACAGTTAACACACACACACACCAGAACAAACACACAGCACTAGTTAACACACACACACACCACAGAGAGACATCACACACACAACAGCAGTAACACCACACACACAGAGAGAACCCACGAGAGACACACAACACACACAGACACACACACACACACAGTAACACACACCACACACAAGTAACACACACACACACAACACACACCACACAGAGAGAGCACACACACACACACCACACACACACACAGAGAAACCAACACACACCACCAGTAGAACACACAACACACACACATTTGGAGAAGACACAAGAACACACACCCACGTACCCACACCACACACACCACACAGAGACACACAACACACCACACAACAGACACACACAACACACAGAGAGACACACACAGAGACACACACCAGCACCAGACACACACACAAGGACCACACACACCACCACAGCACACAGAGACGACACCACACAACACACAGTAAACACACACAGGCACACACACACACACACAGAGACACACAGCACACACACACACCAGAGAAGGACACACCACACACACACACAGGAGAGACACACACCACACACACAAGCACACAGTAACACACACACAGTTAACACACAGTAACCACCACACCAGTAACACACACACACACACACACAGTAACACACAGCACAGTAAAACACACACCACAGAGGTGAAGACACACCCACACACACACACAGCACACACACCACAGCACCACACACACAGTAACACACACACAGACACGCCACCACACAGTTAACACCAGCACACAGTAACAGCAGTAACACACAGCACACACACAGGTAACACACACACTAACACACACCACACACAACACACACACACAGTAACACACACACACCACACGACAGCAGTACAAACACACAGCATCCACAGTAGACACGACAACACACAGCACAGTATACGACTTTATCCTATCATATCTTATTATCTACAGTTTAGTACATCTATCTCACTTTTGATGTATCTTATATCCTAGTATACTACATCTACTTATCTCAACATCTGTTATATATCATTCACAATTTACTAATCTCATCGATATCTACCAGCAACACAAGTAACAAACCACACACACACCAGCAGTAACAAACACACAACAGTAACAGCACACAGCACAAGTAACACACACACACATCAGCAGTAAAATCACACACACAGTAACAAGCACAGGAATCACCACCACATCACACACAGGTAACACACAGCACACAGTAAGCACACAACACACTAGTAACACACACACAAACACAACCAGTAACACACGACTGTAACACCACACTGTAACACACACACACACAACACAGTAAACCAGCACACAGTAACACACACACACACACAGGTAACAGCACACACACCACACAGAACAACAACACACACACACACGTAACACACACACAACACAGCACAGACGACAGCACACACACACACAAACAGTAACACTACACAGCACAAACGAGTAACACACACACACAGCACACAGTAACAGCACACCACACAACACACAGTAAGACAGCACACCACCACACATGTAACACACACAGCACACCACAGCAGGAACACACACACACACACACACCAGGTGAACACACACCACACCACCGGGTAACACACACCGACACAGCAGTTTATAATAACAGGACAACTTTGTGTCTGTTGAAAACCTGCAGTGTCTCTAACAGCCAGCAAGGAGGCCGCTTAACACACTGATTCCCAATGTCACTCTAAAGGAGCGTTTATGTCCTCAGTAAACCGTCTTCAGGTGTTCGTTCCGTACAGCGAAGTTCATGTAACCTGATGGTCCCATTTAGAGCCCAAACAAGACCATAATATGCTTTAGTGGATTGACAGCTGCAATTTCCCAGTGATCCGTGCCGGTCCAAAGTGTAAAGGCAAAACACAATTAAAAAACAAGTGTTGTAATCCAGGATTTATGTTTCACATGTTTACAACTAACCCCGAGCAGCGAGTGACGAGCGGCTCGCTGTTACGTGACTCGCTCGGCCTCTAACGGTTTAAAGTCCAACACGAGGGAGGACAACAAAACATGACTCTAATAAAAATATCGTACTTATGTCTTTGATGTCAGAGTCCATTAATGTGAATAAAGTCAACTGAAGAATACGACGTTTAAAAAACAAACTGAGCTGAAATTCGTCTCTCTGCTGTTAAATAACCTCCTCTCTCACACAGACGTCGTGTGTGTGTGTGTGGTGTGTGCTGTGTGTGTTGTGTGTGTGTGTGTGTGTGAGTGTGTGTGTTTGTGTGTTGTGTGTGTGGTGTCGGTGTGTGTGTGGTGTGTGACTGTGTGGTGTGTGTGTGGTCGTGTGTGAGTGTCGTGCTGTGTGTGTGGGTGGTGTGACTGTGTGTGTGTGTGTGTGTGGCTGGTGAGTGTGTGTGTGTCGTGCTGGGTGTGTCGACTCGTGTGTGTGTGTGTGCTGCTTGGTGTGTGTGTGTGTGTGAGAGTGTGTGACTGTGTGTGTGGTGGTTGTGTGTTGTGTGTGATAATAGCGGGCGCGGGTTGTGAGAGTGTGTCGTTGTGTGTGTGTGTGTGTGGTGTGACGAGTCCGGTGATGTGACTGTGTGTGTGTTGTGTGTGTGTGAGTGGTGTGTGGTGTGTGTTGTGGGTGGTGTACGTGTGTGGTGTGTGTTTGCTGGTGAGTGGGTCTCAGTGTGAGAGTGTGTGGACTGTCGTGCTCGTCGTGTGTGGTGTGGTGTGTGGTGGTGTGTCGGGTGTGGGTGTGTGACTGGGTGTTTGTGTGGTGTGTGTGAAGTGTGTGTGGGAGTGGTGAGTGGTCGTTTAGGTGTGTGGTGAGTCGTGGTGTGTGTGTTCGTGTGGGTAGTGAGTGTGTGTGTGTGTGGAGGAGTGGAGTGTGTGTGTGCGGGCGAGCTTGTGAGTGTGGTGTGTGTGCTTTTGCCCTGTTGTGTGTGTGAGTGTGTGTGGTGTGTCTGGGTGTGTGAGTGGTGTGTGTGGGTGTGAGAGTGAGTGTGTGTGTGTGTGTGTGAAGTGTGTGGGGGGGTTTTTTGTTTGGTGTGATGTGTGTGTGTGTTGTCTAGCGTGTGTGGGTGTGTGTGTGTGGGTGTTGTGTTGTGAGTTGTGTTGTGTGTGGGTGTGTGTGTGTGAGAGTGTTGTGTGTGTGTGTTGGGTGTGGTGTGGTGTGTGTGTTGTGTGTGTGGTGACTGTGTGTTGACTGGCCCAAGTGTGACTGTGTGTGAGGTGTGTGTCGTGGTGTGGTGTGAGTGTGTGTGTGTGACTGTGTGATTGTGTAGTGGTGTGAGTGTGTTGTGTGTGTGGGCGTGTGTGGTGTGTCGCTGTGTTGTGTGTGTGTGCGTGAAGAGTTGTGTGTGAGTGTGGTGTGTGCTGACTGTGTGTGTGTGTGTGTGTGAGTTGGTGTGTGTGTTTGTGAGTGTGGTCTGTGTGTGAGTGGTGTGTGTAGTGGGTGTGTGTGTGTGGGTTGTGTTGGGTGTCTGAGGTGTGTGTGGGTTTGTGTGAGTGTGTGTGTGTGACTGTGGGTGTGTGTGTGTGCAGTGTGTGTTGAAGTGTGAGTGTGTTGAGTGTGGAGGTGTGTGTGTGCGGTGTCTGTGTGTGTGAGTGTGTGTGTGGTGTGAGAGTGAGTGTTGTGTGGTGTGTGAGTGTGTGTGGTGTGTGTGTCGTGTGTGTGGACGTGTGTGTGTGGTCTGTGTGTGTGAGTGTGTGTGTTGTCGTTGAGGAGTGAGTGGTGTGTGTTGTGTGAGTGTGTGTGTTCGTGTGTGTGGTGTGTGTGTGGTGAGTGTTGTGTGTGTGTGTGGTGTGTGTGTGTGCGTGAGGTGGTGTGTGTGATCGTGGTGTTGTGTGTGTGAAGTGGTGTCGTGGCGGCTGTGTGTGCGGGGCGTGGTGTGTGTGTTGTGTGTGTGTGTGTGTGGACTGTGTGTGATGTGTGACTGTGTGTGAGGTGTGCCGTTGTTGTGTGTTTGGAGTGTGTGTGTGTACTGTGTGGTTTGTGTGTTCGTGAGCTGTGTGTTGTGTGTGTGGCGTGTGTGTGTGTGTGGTGTGTGTGTGTGTGAGGAGTGTGTGTGGTGTGAGTGTGTGTGTGTGTGACGGTGTGCCGGCCGAGGCCGTCTCGGTGTGGGTGTGTGAGTGTGTGTGTGTGTGTTGTGAGTGTGTTGTGTGTTGTGTGAGTGTGTTGGTGTGTGTGTTGTCGGGGGTGTGTGTGTCGTGTTGAGTGGTGTGTTGTGGAGTGTGTGTGTGTGACTGTGTTGTGTGGTGACGTGTGTGTGTGAGTGCTGTGTCTGTGTGTGCTGTGTGTGTGTGTGAGTGTGTGTGTGTCGTGTGCGTTCGACTGTGTGACGGTGTGTGTTGTCTGTGTGTGTGGGGTGTGTGTGTGTGTGTGTGTTGGCGTTGGGTGAGAGTGTGTGACTTGTGTGTGTG